CTTTACTAATATCAGCAAGGTAATAAATGTACTGCCAGACAGAATTTATGTATTGTAACTTCTTTACTGATATACAGAGAAATACATATGCCTGAGTTAGGTATGTATAGATGTAAAGTTCCATATGGCAAGTTGAGTTTAAGTAAAGGTAGAATGGTTGAATTATGTGCTTAACCTTGTGCAGGGAAGTACACTGGTAGCCATGGACAAAAAATGAGTAACATAATAGAACTATGAGCAACTGTAAACAAACAGCATTATTAAAATTTCAGGACTATTACTACCCCAGGTGACTTTTTTGTAGAGAATCATGGACATGGAAAAATGCTAACAGGTAATAGTTATTAAGGACTCTCCCCTTGGCCACTGTTGTTAAACGTACACTGGATCACAGTGCTTAGTCACCAATTGATGATAAATGTTGTATATGTTTCTGTATACATCTTCCATACGTCTTCCTCATATGTGTGAACATTCCATTTGTTAATACTGTTAACACTCAACAGGGTAGCAAGTGTGCAGAGTGAACCTGGTCACCAGAATCTTCTCATTCAGCCACCATTGGGGAGGAAGAAAGGACTGAGGCAGGTAAGAACAAAATGTTGAGGATGACCAGCTACATGGTGTCAACCTCAAAAAGGAACTGTTTCAAGATGTTTGGCTTTTCCTATACATCAAACCTGCACACAAGGTATTGGTAATATGCTTGTTGTTTAAAGTGATGACCTGACTACATCTACGTTTGTTGCAAAACCCATGTTTACTTGTATGTCAGCATTGTGAGATATCATCTCGTAAACCCCACCATTCTTTCTTACAGTTCAACATCTCATAAACTAAACTTATTGATGCATAATGTAGCTTGGACTCGGTAATTTCAGCTGCTACTCCCTGTTGACTTCATTATTATATAATGCTAGATAAGGGCTCTGTAGAACTTTCAATGCTTTGCTTATTTTGTGGTTTTGGCTTATGCATCGTATGCACTGTGCTGTATGTGATGATGTATAGTGCAGACTGTCTAGCTGTAATCAAATGCATTTTTGGAAATGAAACCAAAAATTGGTTGGTTGCTATGAGCTGAACAACATCACTATATGCTTCAGTCCATCTGCTCACAAGCCACACAGCATTAGGATTTATGAAGGCCAACTGGCTCCCTTTAGATGTGGATAAATGCAACTTATTGTATTTCATTGAAATCATATTTGCAGTGATTAGGGCTAGGACTGGGGCGAGGATGTAGCAGGAGGTGAAGCTGTCCTTGGCGCAGTGTCTATGTATGTTGGGAGGAGGTGCACGAAAAGGCAGCAGCCTGTAAATTACATAGAACTGAGAGCCCTTCTCCACCCCTTCCATCTTTAATAACCTACCTTGCTACCTGGGGGGTGTTCTGCCTGACAGGAGGGGTTTATTTACTAAAGCTGGAGAGTCCAAAATCAGACTCCCTTCTGCATAGAAACCAATCAGCTTCTAACCTCAGCTTGTTCAATGAAGCTTTGGCAATGAAACCTGGAAGCTGATTGGTTTCTATGCAGAAGGGAGTCTGATTTTGGACTCTCCAGCTTTAGTAAATAAACCCCGAGGTGTCTGAGCAGAGGAGCTGGGATATCTCCAGTGAGGATTTTCATTGTCTGCACCAGTGGTGTACTGAGGGGACTGCGATTAGCACTGGGTACTGGAAATCTGTGGCAATATGTTGCATATTGCCACTGACATCAGGCAGAAGCAGTGCTGTAGTGCAAGTATCTTATATCCCAGCTGCAGAAGATGATCGGGGTGCCCATGTCATGTGGAAGGGTGGTGCAGTTTGGCATCTTCGCCTTGGGTACTGGATGACCTTGACTTGGCAGTAATTTGCAATAACTCATAGCAAGCAATCAGCATTCAGTAGCTATACTATACAGTACAGACCTAATGAAAACTAATTCCTGACTTGTGATTTGTTGCTTTGAACTGGAGCATGTCTCTACTGTATTTACTATATTATAAAGGCATATATATATACTATACATATGTATAGCTATGATTATATGCAAAAAGCATATAATCAAACAATTTTATATCTCATAAAAATAATAATATAATAATATTGTTTCATTATTATAATTCTCTAATCACCATCATGTCTGTCTGTCTCTGTTTGTGCCACTACATGTAGTATGTATTTCACAGCGTTGAGCAATATTTTCAATATATATATTAGCAATATTAATCAAATACAGTATATTGCATAGTCTTGGATGCAAAATTACTTATTCTGTGTTCAAAAATATTTGTTAGAGTTTGTATACTTATACTGATATTGACATAATTCAGATAGCGGTATGATACAGCAAATTATTCAACCTCATACATGCATCTTCCTTCCATGAGTCTTCAAAACTCATGTATGTGACTTTGATCAGATGGCAGAGGTGGAGTACAGTAAACATATGGCTGGACAGCACAGAACTCAAATGTATAATATTTTCATCTCCTCTCTATATTCTATATGTGAAGATATCCTTAGATGTATGTATATGTTAAAATAAACAATTATTAAACATTTAAATGCATACACACGATTATGAATTTATAATTACTTATGCAGGTTATCTGTGGTAAACACCACACTAGAATTAAGTACAAATGATTTTAACTGGTTATTTCGAAACCACTTTGCGGTCCTATTCTGAATAAGGTCAGTAATTAAGAGAAAAAAATATTCAATGAGAAGTATAGAGCGTGCAGACTCAACTCGGTTAATAAATTGCAAAGGCTTTATTCACATCAAATATACAAATAACATGATTTATGTGCATAGCATCCAGCAATCAGTTTTTGGTAGGTGCAATGTTTTATACTTTCAAAATATACATTTTGCTGACATATCAATGTGGTTTTGCAAACAGCAGCAGCCCTGCTTTACTAAAGGAATATGCCCGATGTTCTCTATATTTATAATCGTATTGCAGTAGGTTTCTAAATCATAGCCCTCTAATTTTTCTGGAGGTTCATCAGAGAAGTCCAAATTAAATGTCAAACAACTAATACAAAACCTACTTTTAAAGTTGTTGAAGCTGCAAAAGGTAGTAGAGTATGAATATACTTGTTCATTTTACTTGGATAAAATACTAGCTAGCATAACATCACTATTAACAACAATGCCATCAATATGCACTTTACTGGTCAGGGTTTTAAAGCACTGGCCAAAAGTAAGTCTGCACAGAATGGTATCTTGCTTTTTATCGGGTCTAAATACCAAGGTTAACATAATCTATCATAACTGCCTTAATGAGATTCATAGGTAAAGAGTAACTGAAGATCTGAAATACTTTTTACTTTTTTTCTGGGCTCTTTCTAGTTCCTGAAAGTTGAGGCATTTTGGTGATGTGACTTATGTTGAAGAGTAGTGGATAGTCAAACTAAGCAGAGGTCATTAGATGGATACCCTTACTGAGCAGAGGTCATTTGACAAAAGTTCTAGACTTTTGAAATGTGATATTTGGAACAATATATTCTCCAGGAAAGTATTTCTTATAAATGCCTTTTTTTACAATGAGTCTTCCTTTTGGTCAAGTTATGTCATGGGTCCTCTTCCTCCTCAGGTAATAAGTCGGTCCTAAATGCATCAGAGAACAATACCATTCAATGAAGTGGCACTGTTTTCTCTACTGTTCTCCTTAGGCCAGGGCAGCTTGATGATGCCCCCAGGGGGTGTCACCTTCATGCCCTGGGCTCAAGAGAGTGGCTTGAATGTTACTAAGCATCAATCAATCAGAAAGAGGATGGACACTGCATCACAGAGACAGTGTAAAGGGGGAGGTGAATATTAAAACAAAAGCTGCATTTTTGTTTCAAAAATAGCTGGCCAACTAATAATTAAAACTAAAAAATGCCTGTAATTGAGCTTTATTTTAGTAACCTGGTGCATATCATACTTTTCAGTAACATGCTACAAAGCATAGCTTGCAATTTCTTTTGTTTTTGCTAGTTGAAATATATATTTTTAATATTACATCCTTTCTGTTTTTGGTTACCAAAAGACATGCATTTGAAGGCTAAACATTTCTAAAGATATCTTCACATTTTGCATAAAACAGCACATCATAATCAAATGAAATAATTGTATCATTCCTAAATACATATTAATTTATTGCCTTGTAAATTGACCACCATGACAAAGTGAATCCTGCAGAATTACAGAACAAGAAGTCTTAAAAATATATAACAATTTTTGAATTTCTTCAAAATTTAGCATAGTTTGCTTGGCTAATTCTGTGAAATTTCTTGAATATTTGTATAAATGTTTGAATTATTTTGGAGTAGTACCTGAGTACCTTTGGCTACAATTCTATATTTATGAATGATACACTATATTTCATATTTCAGCAAAATGGCAATATAGAAAATATATTTTCCAAATGCTGCCGTAGAACTAATATCTTTGCATGCGTTGTAAAATATTAACCTGACATACTAAGACTGTCTTAAGCTTTCATGGAATACTACTGGTGATATACTGATAATTCCTACACCCTTGCTCAATTCACTGGAGTTGACAGGTCTGAATATAAAAATGGTAAGTCTCACATCTTTCTGTGACTAACCTCTCAGTTACTTGATGTTTTCCTATTAGATGTGTATAAATGTCACCAGGAAATTGTCTGTTTTGTTAATGAGTATTTATGTAATCACCTAAATCTAGAGAGCAGTATTTCACCTTTCCACTTACAGTGTGGTGAACTACAGACCTGTTAGCTCTACAAATGTGTGTTATTAACATAAGCATGCCTAGAATTGTAGACAATGTTTAACATCTTGATTTACAGCCATAAATAGCACATCTGAGTCTATAACTGATTCTTGGTACTCTGTAGGCAACCATGTAGATGTTGAGGTTTACTGAACCAAGCCATACCTTGTTCGCACTATTTACTATAATTCTTCCTGAGTGTTAATATGTCCCCTGTATTGTGGTGTAACAGGGGGCTTTCTCTCCTTCTCACCTGGTTCAGCTACGAAGGCCTTTACTTTCACGTCAGAAAACACAAACTGAACCAAGAAGTCGCCATGGGGCTAGACTCTCAACTACTCGTAGGAGCATACAACCTCGAGCCAAGCAGATACGAGAGGAAGATCAAAAAGCAGGTTAGGCTCTATTCAATTTTAACATAGAACTCATAGCACTACTAAATCATTTGTCTTCTAAATGTTATCACAATCAAGCATGTATAAAATGGGGATTAAAGTGAGATATTGGTAACACAAAGTACACCTGTTATCCAAGATTTTAAATTAAATGAAATATGTCATTTTTCATTCATAGTTTATACCTTTCTGTCACTCTGGTTGTGATTGTCATGTTCTTCTTTGTAAAATACTGCTTAATGTCCCATACACAAAAGACTCCTCTCCCAGTTTGCTATTCAGGTCTGGGAGTTACCCATCAAACAAGCTGGCAAGTTTGTAGCTAATTCAACTCCTCCATGGTATGTGATACTTATACTTGAAACCACATGACCTTGCCCAAAATAATTGTTTATATGCCCCTGTAAGATATTAAATACTAGTAATGGGGTAATACATTCTTTGCTAAATACGCTAAATATCTGAAATCAGTGTGGTGAATCCCAGTGCTGAGCTTTACAAACTGAGGAATTTATGTCAATGAAAACATTGCTTTCCACTAAAACATAACAGCTATTCTTCCAACATAGTTAGATAGGTGACTTATTCACCCACATGATATAAAGTAGTTTATTGTAATAGTAATTTAACTACTACTGTGTAGTAGTAATTTAAAAACAAAAGCGGGTGTGTCAGCCAAAAATTATTTCAAGTGATGATTATTTGGGATATGGCCAGGTAACAGAGGCAGAATGTTTGCTAAGTTGTGGTTAGGGTCCTATACCTATACTTACCGAAATCACGATCTGCAAGTAGTTTGTATTTTTTCTCTGTTGTTTTATTGTTTTTTTACTCAGTAGGTTAATGGGCTTCTGCCCATGGTGGCCCTATTAAGTAAGTGCATAACTGCAATAGGGACTTTCAAATGCAAGCTCCTTTGTTGCAGAGACAGTTTCAAAGTTTCAATAAGCTCTCTAAAGCATGATAGCGATTATATATATATATATATATATATATATATATATATATATATATACACTGTATATACAGGTATATCAGTATAAAAAATATGTAAAATAGATGGGGTCTTCTATTAGACTAACAATACATGAACAGCTTATATTTGAATGCATTATGACAATGCTGAAAACATTTAAACTAGAAAAATCTAGTTGAAGGAGTAGATTCAGTAAGGCAAAGAGCATTGTGCCGAGGTTCTCCCACTTTTCTGTGGTCCTGCATCTGCAAAGATAGGAATTATAGATATAATCAATGCCTTCTCAATTACTCATCCAAACACACTACACTCTAGTGTGGGGCATTACAATTAGGTCATGAAGCCCTAAGTGCAAAACAATGCAATTACATTGGACATAGATAGTTGTTTAAAGATGATCGGTGGTGATAGACATACAGGGCAGCCAAGGCTGACCTCCTTCTTAGAATACTAACTACCTGACTTTCTCTGGTTTCAGCACTGAATCACAAAATCATAATAAGCATGGGCATTAGAAAATCACATGAAGTCTTGATCTGCATTATTGTTCTAGATTTGTGCCTTGGAAATCACAAACGCCAATAATAATGTCAAATTATAGGTTCATTTTATGTCTTAACTCAGTCAAGTGCAGTTGACAAACGTGTGGGCCAACACAGACTCCTGGTTGAGTAGTAATGGCATGGTAAAAGGTATCCTCCACAATTAATTCAATAAAAGACACAGCATAGGGAACCCATCATAACTCAGCCAGTTTTGCACTTATATATTTACTGAAAACGTATTCTGTATTTCAGTTTAGGATATATATATATCATTTGAAAAAAAAAAAATATATATATATATATATATATATATATTTATATATTATCAAAGACAGGTTGAACTGATAGTGGCAGTAGTAAACCATGCATGAGGCAAGGAAACCCAGAAACCAAATGAAGGTGTATTCCCACCCAAAGCTCTGCAAAGCTTCTGGGCTCCAGGACCCACAATGTGCTCTATTGTGATTCTAAGAAAACAAAAATAGTTTTTCTACTTATCAATCATATCTTCATTCAAGATAAAGCTTCACAGATGTGTTCCACTCACTAAACAAGCAATTAATAAATGGGGTCAATTCACTAAAGCAGCGGTCCCTAAATGGTGGACTGCAAACGGCCCCAGCAGCACTGGCGCTCAGATCGTCAGCCCACAATGACAGATCCGCTGCTGAGCAGGGCGGTTGTCATGGCAACATGACATCACATGTGCGCTCCGCCCCTTTCACCTGTCTCTCCATCTCCCGCTCCCTGTCTGTACACAAGCGTCCAGCAAGGATCCTGGCACAGCTCCTGTCTGCCCTCAAGGTAGGGTGTAGTCTTACAGGGGCACTCTGAATGTTAAGGGGCACTCTGATGGGCCCAACATAGAATGTGCCCATCAGAGTGCCCCTTAAAATAACATGTGCCCATCAGAGTGCCCCTTAATATAAATCTGCCCATCAGAGTGCCCCTTAACATAAAATGTGCCAATCAGCATGCCCTTATTTTATGTTAAGGGGTACTCTGATGGGTACATTTTAGGTTAAGGGGCACTCTGATGGGCACATGTTATGTTAAGGAACACTTTGGTGGGCACATGTAATGTTAAGGTGCACTCTGATGGGCACAACATAGAATGTGCCATCAGAGTGCCCCTTAATATAAATGTGCTCACCAGAGTGTCCCTTAATATAAATGTGCCCATCAGAGTGATCCCTTAACATAACATGTGCCCATCAGCATGCCCCTTATTTTATGTTAAGGGGCACTCTGACGGGTACATTTTATGTTAAGGGGCACTCTGACGGGTACATTTTATGTTCAGGGGTACTCTCACGGGTACATTTTATGCTAAGGGGCACTCTGACGGTCACATTTTATGTTAAGAGGGCACAAAGGGGCACATACTGTGGAAAGGGGCACTCTGAAGGGCACATGTGATGGAAAGGGGCAGTCTGATGGGGAATATGATGTAAAGGGGCACTCTGATGGGGAAATATGATAGAAAGAGGTACTTTGAGTGCAAGGGGGCACTCTGATGCGAATACCTGATGTAAGGTGGCACTGTGATGGGGATACCTGATGTAAAGGGGCACTCTGATAGGGACAACTGAGGTAAAGGAGCACACTGATGAGCACACCTGTTGTGATGGGAATACATGATAAACGTTTCACTATGAAGGTGACACCTTATGTAAGGGGGCTACACTGATGGGCACACCCTATTCGGACCTTGGCCAGAAGAAAATTTTAGTGACCGGACCTCCTTGAATTTTAATTCAATACTCCTGCACTAAAGGTTACCGCATGCGATATGAAGGTCACGTTACTCATTTTTTGGAAATATTGCATGAGATAATAAAAGAGTCAATTCATCAAAGTAAAATACTGAATGTGAGGTAAATACCACATATTTGTTAAAATAATGAGATAAACACCACTAAAAAAATTAGATAAGTCATTACAGTCAATGCACACACAAATACACACACACATTCATTATTTATCACCTGGTGTTTGCTGGTGGTATTTTAGAAAAGTACAAAATAATAATTAGAGGAACTCTGCACTGGCCAGGAAGTGAAAAGTATACAATAAATCATTGTGAAGATGTTTTCCTCTGAGTTTAGGAATGAAAATAAATGGTAACATTTCATCAGAGGGAGATCGTTTTGTGAATGAAAGCACACTAGAATATTTTCATAGTTTCACATTTTTGCTGTGTGCCTTCTGGTGCAGTGTTAACCTGCAAAAAAAATTGCAAAAAAAAAAAAAATGCCAAAAATAGCTGAAAATGTAAACACTAAATATCGCAATTCATAAATATTTAACACATTCGGTAAATAATGCATGTTTTTTAGTGAATTAACTACTTTTGAGATAAATACCTCATATGTTATTACTCAAAAATTCATGCAGTATTTATATTTTAGTGAATCGGCCCCATTGTATCCAAATTTAAGTCAAAACATGTACAAACAGAAACACAACCTAATGACAAAATATATACATCAGAACAAGATATAACTCCCTGCTGAAAAATCCTATCCATACATAATCTTTATAATTCCTTCCACCGTCAGAGGACTATCTTCATGGGACTGAGATTGAGCTCTGCAGTCACTCTTGCAGCAGTTGTTTTCTTATTCCGGGTCACAATCCTGCGCAATGTCCTTTTGGCTCTTTTGGTCAGTTGACCATGTTTATGCTTAACAGGTGACATTTTTGCAAAAACTGTATATGCTGTCTTAACCTTTGATACTGTACTTCGCGACATGGCAAATAAAATGGCAACTTCAGTCACAGAGGCACCAGCTAAGTGGGCACAAACAATTTGCCCTCTTTGAAGCTCAGTAAGCTCTGACATTGGGCAGCTTCTCTCATTTTGTATCTCTTCAAAGATGCTGAGGTAGGTTTCAACATTGTCCTTCAGGAGCAATTTCTGTAAAGCATTCAGCACCAGTCATCAAGGTGTAGGAGCTGGCCCCTGTGCCACCATATGCCTCTTGGATATCTGTATCTGCTACTGTACAGACAGATGTATTGGCTGTTGTCCCTCTAAGGAGGCCTGGTGCAATTCAGTCAGCTGTTACATTTGCAGTAGCTGATTAGTCTGCTGTTGGTTAAGCCGGCCATAGATGGTTTGAATCTTGGCCGATTCAGCAGGGAGAATACAATGGCTCGCTGGGAGAATACAATGGCTTATTGGGCGTGATTCCCTTGTCAACACTGATGTGGTAGCAGGAAAGAAGTTTGCACTGTCTATGGCCTGCCTTAGTGTTTGCTAACATAAGCTGTTTTACAAGCATTTTATGTCTCTTTAGGCCACTGTCCAAATCCGAGAACCATATTATAAGGGGGACAGGCTCAAATGGTAGTGGCAGTGTTAAACATGCATGAGACATGGACACTTAGGAAAAGTTCAAGTAGATTTGTCCTGCAATTTTATTCAGAAATGCAGCAAATGGTTTCAATGTAGAAAGGCTTTGTACAGTAAGCC